CATCTGGCGGAGAAGCAAGAAACTAAAAAAAATAAACCGCAACGTGTCAAGAAACCTGGCGAATTCACCAGAAAGTAAAAGAAATACTACAGAATTCTAGAATAGAATTTTCCCAAAGATCCACAGCTATATAAAAGGTTGGGATAGTTTGAAGTTTGAATATACCGCGTTTTAAATTATTGCGAATCGGACAATTTGGCGAAGGAATTTTATTATTATTAAGTAGTTAATTGTGTGTTATATTAGTATAAATTGTGTGTAAATTAAGAAAAAAATACTTTAGTTAAGTATTTTATCGTGAGTTTAAATTAATGGACCCACGGAGCTACTTTACTTTTTATAGTCAAAATTCGAATTGATCATAGATCATTTCATCATAGAGTAAAATCATACCGATGTTTTATTATTTTTCTCATACCTAAATATATTTTTGTAATATAATGAAGTCATAGCAAAAGTTAAGCATGCAAGAGGAAAAGATAGTAAGGAACCTACTGACTATGAATTTATTAAACGTTTTGATATGCTTGAAGTGTCGGGTTTGAAAACCCGAATAACTCCTGTTGAAGAAAATTCGGGCATACTTTATTTTGTCCATGATGAGGAACTCTATTAAAAAATCCTTGTACCAATAAGTAATCTTATGTTTATGAATGTATATCGAACGGCTCTAGTATGGCAAGCTGTACCTTGCTACTCCCAAGGCGTTAAAAAACGCTATATACGGGAGCTATTATTATATTATGTTTATGAATGTTTTTTTTTGTTTTGTACGCTTTAAAATGTTTACTATGTTTTTACTTTTAATATTTAGAAGGTTATGTCGTCATTTTCTATAATTTTTAATAAATATACTAAAGAAGTAAACTGTCATTTTAAGATATGTGGGTCAGCTTAAATATTGAGGTGATCCAATATTCTTAAAAGTTTTATTTGTTCTAACTTCCACCAACATTCTTCCACTCCCACCACACTTGCCTTGTACAATAGAATAACTTTTACTGGCAACCTTTTTTTTCCACAATAAGGGGCCGTCCTCTGCCGGAAACACTGCGACCTGTAGTAAATACTGGCAACCTTTAGTAAATGTTACTTTCACTAGTGAATGTTAGAAATTACAAGGAAAAGTCGACAAATATCTTTAAAATACCACATTCACTGGTTCAATCCGTAATTGCTAGCGTTTCCTAGTGAATGTTAACAATCACTGAATTTCCGACTTTCACTATAACATATAAATTAAAAAATTGGTCAAGTGCGAGTCGGACTCGCGCACGAAGGGTTCCGTACCATTCATTATCTATACAACATTAGATATTCTTATAAACCTTTTTTCCGATTTAGCTGAAATATTGAATGCGTGTAATTTGAAAAAAATGAAGAAACACATTACTAAAAATTGTATTAATCAACAATAAATATGTAAAAATTAAAAAAAAACGATTAAAAAAAGTCGCATTGACTAGGATTCGAACCTGCCTTACTATGCCTCCAACGTCATAGCAGCGTAAAGTCCTAACGCTTTAACCACGCGGCCACCAGGGACTTGAAAGATTCTATGTAAAATTCTTACTTAAAAGATAATGTTTAGTGAAAGTACTTTTATATTTATAAACATTTATTTAATTCTGTTTTTAGTATTTGTTCTTAAAGCGGCTACATAGATACATTATCTGTAAAAATTTCAACTGTCTAGCTATAATGGTTCATAAGATAGACCTTTGTGACAGACGGACGGACAGCGAAGTCTTAGTAATAGGGTTCCAGTTTTTACCCTTTGGGTACGGAACCCTAAAAATGACTCCCATTCTTTAGTGGTAAAATAGTTCCTTGTTGAAAAAAATAACAAGATAATATTATATATTTTTATATTCTCTTTTCAGACATATTTATGTTGCTAAGGCAATGCAGGAAACTAATGAATCACTAATGCAAGTTTCCTACCAGTTGCTACGTCGCTACCACATTGGAGTAAAGATATTAAAGGGGTATGCAATGTAACTTTAACAAGCATTTTTATATCTAGCGCAACAAAGAAAACTTGTTGCTGGAGGAATTTCAGACTGGCAGGTTTTTTTTTAATCCGGTTGGTCGAAACATTTATTATTTATTCATTTCTAAAAACCTGTACCTACTAAAAAAACACAAACAAAATGTAATTATTTTACCATTAAAATGGTGGAAAATAGCCTAAAAGGAAAAAAGCAGTGTTAAAAATAATATCATCATTTTTAAACTGATTAATAATTTTTAAATAAAATATAATAACGACGTAACTAGAGGCTTGGAGATACTGGGATATAGAGTAGATCTTATGATGATAGCGAATAGCGGCGAACTTCGATTCCAACGAACAGATGATCAGATTGTAATGCGTATAATGAGCATTATATCTGTTACAGTGTTGCAATGATCCAATTTATATTATAGCTATAGCATGTTCGGCGATAATATTGTGCGAAATAACAACCACATGGGCTGATAATTACCGAAAAAACAGATTTCAGGTAAAATTCAGAGGTAAAGTTAGTTTAAATTTAATAGATGTGTTCGTACATCGAATGTCCAGTAAACTACATACAGGGTTGTTCACCACATACGACACGGAGTATTGTAGCTAAACGATGAAATTTTTACAAATTGTAAGTTTTGGGTTCGTTGAAGGACTATTAGAGCTACAATTAAAAAATATTTTTACAAGATACAGAGTGTCCCAAATAAATAAAAAATATCAAAGTTGTATTTTTTAAATGGAACACCCTGTATATTATTAAATTTTTAGTTTCTACGATTAAAATAAAGGTAAATTTGATTAAGGTTTTACACTTAAACCTTAGCGTTTTTGAAATATTTTCAATTTTGTGAAATTGCAGTAAAAATTTTAAGGCTTCATTTCTCCAAGGGTATCAATGTTTTTAATACTAAATATTTACTGAAGTTTATTTATTGATCAGTTATTGTGTTGCAATAATAAAAATAATACTACCTTATACAGAGTGTCTAAAAATTTATTTTATATAATTATTAGCTTTGAACGGCAATAACTTCTTTAATTTAAATAGAACACCCTGTATATTTTATGAGAATCAGATGCACAATTTAATTGTCTATCAAATTGTATTATGCTATTTTTTACCTATCTCTTTAAGTTTCCGTAGAAAATGCATTTTCTTGTAATTTAAAACTTATTTATCAATATACCCATGGAATACTGACATTTTAGATTATTTTTAAAGAGTACAGATACTAATATTGTCGATATAATTCGTTTATTTCATTAAAAAATCAAAAAAAACTGTTTAAATATTTGTTAAAGAGGGCCAATTAATATGATTCCAGTATTCAAACTACATTAACTGCCTGTTTACGTTGATTAATATTAATTGCCTCAAATACTAAAAAACTGAGTTTTGTATGTGTATTAGACAGTGTGGTGAAAAGTAACACCTTAAAAATGATATTTTATTATTTAATAAATGCTTATTTATAACAACAGAGACGTTCACTTTCATAACTTATTATTTTATTGATTTATGATTCAAATCCACATTTATTTAGAATAATTTAGTAACGAGCACAATTAAGTATGTAATTAATTAGAATTTGGGCGGAAATAATGGTGTTATATTTAATTAATGGTATACTCTTTTATAAATATTTAAATAGTTTTCTTTTTGCCTACAAATGGGCTAGTAATATTACCGTTTTGCTAAAAACAATAATATTACTAGCCCGTACATTTTGTACATTTGTTGCTTTAAAAACAATCTAAAATGTCAATATTCCATGGGTATATTGATAAATGAGGTCTAAATTATAAGAAAATGCATTTTCTACGAAAACTTGAAGGAATAGGTAAAAAATGGTATAATACAATTTGATAGACAATTAAATTGTGCATCTGATTCTCCTAAAAGATACAGGGCGTTCCATTTAAATTAAAGGAGTTATTGGCGTTTAGAGCTAGAAATTATTTAAAATAATTTTTTAGACACCCTGTATGAGGTAGTATTATTTTTATTATTGCAACACAATAACTGATCAATAAATAAACTTCAGTAAATATTTAGTATTAAAAACTTTGATACCCTTGGAGAAATGAAGCCTTAAAATGTTTACTGCAATTTCACAAAATTGAAAAAAATTCAAAAACAGTAAGGTTTAAGTGTAATAAACCTTAATCAAATTTACCTTTATTTTAATCGTAGAAACAAAAAATGTAATAATATACAGGATGTTCCGTTTAAAAAAATACAATTTTGATATTTTTTATTTATTTGGGACACTCTGTATCTTGTAAAAATATTTTTAAATTATAGCTCTAATAGTTCTTCAACGAACCCAAAACTTATAATTTGTGAAAATCTAATCGTTTAGCTACAATACTTCGTGTCGTATGTGGTGAACAACCCTGTATAGGTATGTTGAGAGAGTTTTAGAAGGAAATCCTGTCAATATTTCTTCAAACCTTCTTCTGTCAATATTTCTTCAAACCGAAAAAATAGGTAGGTACCTATTTACACTTATTCACTTTTTCACATTTGTATTATTATATTATATTGAACAATCATGTTCAGTAAAATTTAATAAAAGTTCACTGAAACTTTGATTTTCACTGAAAACGTGTTCTCACGTTTGTTATTTGTTCAGTAAGACTGAATCAGTCAGGCTGCTTTAGCGAGACTGGTAGATGATAAATCGGCTTTACTACAAAATATTTACCGGATTCTTTAATTTACAATGTTGAAAATAATACATTTTCAAATTTTACTTCTTATGAGTAACGAAATTACAAACAATTGGTTAAACACTATTTTGTGATTTCGATACTCATCATACCGGGTGCGTATCAAAAGTGGCTCACCCCTATAACATATTGTGCCATGGCTATTATAAAGTTTGCAACTTTTACAAACTTTTGCCTTTTGTCTGAACTAATACTTCTTTAAAACGACGCCAAAAAGTTGTTCAACAAAAACTCCAATTTATTTTAATAAATAAACAATAGATATTAATAAAATTATATTGTATTTAGCTATCACAAACAATACTTTTACATTCTTGACTATTTCTTAATCCACACAGTAGCATATCAAATTCACTAAGAACTTCTTCAGAGAACAATTTTCCTATTAAAGAATCAAACATTTCACTAAAGTCTTTCGATACACTTAAGTCTTTATTTTTATGTCTTAAATCAACACTAGAGACTCTTCCATGTTCAACTGTTAATAAAATGACTAAATCCTGGTTTTGTGCAAAATTTATACTTTTCGTTATTTGAAATTTGGGCGTTTTTTCATATCGCCATGCTATACTTAAGTATTCATTTTTAATATTAGTTACTCCAGGGAAAATATCATCATCTATAGATTCTATTATTTTAATATCGTTAGTGTTTCCGTATTCTAAAATTACGGCTGTCATCACTTCCTGGACAGTTATATCTGATTTTTCTTCAGTAAGATTCATTATTGGTGACTTTACTGATTTGGAAGCATTAGTTTTTGTACATTCACCAAGATTATTTTTTAAGGCTAGACTAAGATTATCTTTATCAGCACTAACTAAAAGAGTACAGTGATGGTAAGCAGTTGTTCTTCCTAATTTCGAAGCTGTGCCAGATATTTTAAAGTCGCTAATACATAAATCTTCTCTTGAATTTACTTCCGAATTGACTTCAAATGATTTTTTTAACGCCCTAAAAGATCATACTTTATATGTACAGGGTGGTTCGAACTGTATTCCGGTAACTTTAACAGCATATTCTGCAGATAAAAATAAGTAAAAAAGTTTGTATAAATGCACGCCCTAAAATGCTTAGTTTCGGAGCTACAGGGTGTAGAAGTTTCATTTTTATTTCAATTTTTTCAAAATAATTTCTGAAGTAATCTCAGTAGGTATTTGGCGTCTGGGAGTGTTTTGACATGATAAATTTGATTTTGATGTTTATGACTCCTATTTATAGGGGAAGTTACCTACATGTGTTTTAACTCTTTTGAAGAGTAATAACTTTTTGGCCGTACTTCAGTAAAACTACTGAGTGAAAAAATATACATTTCCGCGACTTTTTACGTAAAAAATGTCTCTTGGTAAAAATCGCTACGAGCAACCGTTCTCAAGATATTTAGAATGGAAATAGTCAATACATTATTGACAAAAAATAAACACGTTGAGTAGATATAGTTATTTTCTGAAATAAATTTGGGAAATTTTTATTTTTTCAAATTAATCATAAATTTTTCTGCTAAAAAATAATGATAAAACAGTTTCTGTTGAACTTTTGACCCAAACATTTCAAATTTATGATTTCAATCTTATAACTATTTAGTCAACATGTTTAATTTATGTCAATGATGATAAGTATTGATAATTTTGATTCCAAATATCTCGATTATCTCGATCCATTACTCGTAGCGACTTTTACCAAAGACCTTTTTACGTAAAAAACGTCGTAAATATGTAATTTATGTGCCGAGAAGTTATTACTCTTCAGACCAGTTAAAAAATATGTAGGTTTGGTTAGGCGCCCTCTACAAGTAGGAGTCACAGATATCAAAATATCAAATTTCCCATGTCAAAAAACTCCCAGACACCAATTTTCATCCAAATATTTCATTACTTTATAAATTATTTGGAAAAAATCCAAATAAAAATCTACACCCTGTATTTCCGAAAGCATTTTAGGACATACATTTATACATTACTTATTTTTATCTGCAGAATATGCGGCAGAAGTTTTCGGAATACAGTTCGGAGCACCCCGTATACCGGGTGCGTCTCAAAAGTGGCTCACCCCTATAAATTTTTTATTTTTTCAGATAAAAAAACGAGATTTAGTATGTTAGTATATGACATAAATTAGGATTTTCTCAATTTTTTCAAATGGGATCAATTTTTTCAAATGGAACGAGGATGGCTCATTAGCATATTTGGAAAAAGCATTTTTTTACGAATAATTTGATACCACATACTTGGTATTTCGAGTCAAATTTTCGTTATGAACCGCAGGTTACAATGTCAAATAAACCACATGCGAAAATGTCAAAAGTTGACATATGCTATGTCATTCTTTTCAGAGTGTAATTTTCTATCGAATAAAGTAAAAAAATACCGAGAGTGCCATTTAAAAATCAAAAATTGTAGTCATTTCCGGTTAAACCGGAAGTAACCGAAAACAATTGAATATGTATATCAATCTGGAATCAAGTATGGTAATCAATCCAGATTTATGTCATATACCAACATACTAAATCTCGTTTTATCTGAAAAAATAAAACAGTTATAAGGTGAGCCACTTTTCAGACGCACCCGGTATTACACCCAAAAACAATTATTCTAGTTACCTTGATATAAGTTCTAAATTCCGTTTTCTATTGTAATTCTTCCTAGTAGTAAAAAACGTTAAATTCAAGTTTCCTAAATCATGAAATACTGTCCCTCCGCCACTGTTTCTTCTGGCTAATTTTACGCCGCCTGCGATATAGGGCAACTGTGCAAAATTGCATTCTATCCAAGGATTCTGATGTCGACCAATTACAACGCAAGGTTCGTTTTGCCATAACATTAAAAGTTCATGGTTGGTAACGTTAAAATTTTTATATAACCAATCTTCTAAAGCCAGATTTGTAAAAATATCCGTTGACTTCGAAATGTATATTGAGCGGGCAACAGTGGTACTTGAAGTAGAATAAAAACAACCTGGTATACTACGTCGACGAATAATTTTTAGTAGTAAACGCATTGTGACTAGTTTTACTGTTATCTACAAAGAAACAAAAAATTATTTTAAGATTTTATTTACATTAAATTATTAAATTAAGTGTAGTGTACTATTTGTTTAAAGTGTGGTAAAGTAGTATATATGAAAGAAGGTATACTATGTAAACTCAACCATTTCATAAATTTAGATTTTGGAATTAATCTATTTCTGTCTAATAATCTACGAAGATATCAAATTTAACTCACCAACACTGATATATTCTGAAATACAGTACATTGATTTATAATATCTACACATTAAATTAATGGTTATTAAAAAGGAGTAATTTAAAAACTACAATATTTGGAGGTTAGAATACTTTAAGTAGAAAATATCACAGCACAATAACACGAATATTCAGTATTATACAGCTACTTTTTTATTTTTCAATTTAAGTCACTACAAAACGAAAATTTAGGCCGAAAAAATCCAGTTGTAAAACAAGACAAACACATTTATCATCAGAAACCGAAATCAATTTAGCCGTATAAGTGGTTGCCTAACTTAAGGAAACAAAATCAATGGCACACGAAGATAATCTGAACGTTGACTACGTTTACATCACATAAAGGTAATACGATTCAGAAAATATTAATTTTGTAAAATATTATCAGTATGTTAATTTCGAAAAGTTATATTATGCTGAACTGATGGTTAATTACATGATTAAAAAAAACCGACAAGTGAGAGTTGGACTCGCCCACCGGGGGTTTCGTACTTTGTAGGTACATATTACGAGTCTAGGAATTACTGAATGAATTAATGAAAAATCTGTTTAAGCTTGTGCAGATGAAGCCCATTCATATCATACCCATATGGTAGGGTTGTCAACTTTCAAAATAAAAAATAGAGGACGAGAGGGTAAAAAAGAGGTACAGGCGAAACATTTTTTTAAACCTTGCCCAGATGTTTAGAATTTACCAAAAAATTATGTAAACGGTATGCGATTGATGGTCTTTCTTACTTTTTTAACAAGATTTATACTCAAAACTTTTTAAAATACTTAACCATTTTCAATAAAACTTTTTTTCAAAACATAAGCTAACAGTAAGGAAACATAAAATAGTTAAACATGTTTGTCGGTTCCATAAATATTTCTTTTTTTTGTTTCTTGCATAAAGGCCCTATTTCTTATGATTTAATTAAAAATATAGGGCTTTCAGATTTTTCTCCTCTGTACCTACAAAATAGTAAGAGTTTAAAGAAATCTACAAAAAATTTGGTCACCCATACAATTATGACCGGACCCGTTGGTTAACCTCGATGATTGACTCCAGGGCCAGTCAACTGAGATATACGACCTTGAACGATCTTTTTTTGGTGTAGTAATTTCCTGGGGCGCTAGATGGCGTATTTTTTATTTTAATTTTTTTAGTTGCCTAACAATTGCGTACAAAATTGTTTTTATAGTTGCCTAAATAGGCCTATTAATTATGTTCTGTCATTGTTCTGTATGTCAAATCAGTTTTCCGTTTCCGGCTTCTTCCTTCCTCTTCAGTTGTGTTTTGCAGTTGAACGGAGATGTGCGTTTCGCTGTTTTCTGGTTGTTTGGCTGTGTTTTTTGCAATCTTCATTTTACAATCGTGATTTTGTATTTTTGAACTTTGTTTTGTGTTTGATTTTTAAGATCTTTATTAAAGCTAAGGTTTAAGTTAAAGGTCTTTGATTTATCTAACAATTTTATTTAATAATCCAAGAAAGTGAGGTGAGGTAACCTAACCAAGTCCAAATGTACGTGAATTTTATTTTTTAACAATGTAATATTTACAACGCCATATATTTTTACAAAAAAAATTGATCAACTCCATATTTTTGTACATAAACTCCACAATGTGATATTACACAATTGTACAAGTCCATATGTAAAAAATACACGTAAATAAAACATTGTTTCTAATGGACGTCACATTCTCTTGTATTCCAACGATATTTGTTGTGTTCTTAAATTTGGTACTATAATAAATATTATACTTTTTAATCTGTTGTTTTATTTGTTTGTAAAATGTTTCATGGTATAATTTTCTGTAAATTAAAATAAATTATTTATTGTAGGTTTTTATGCACATAAAATGATATAAGCAAACCATTTAACACTTTACAATAGTTTAACCTGGTTTAACCTTTATATATAAATCCTTGTTTTTTATTATTTGACTTGTTTGCCAACTTGGGACCAATCAGATGACTACACATTATTTTGTAGAAATCTGATTGGCTCTAACTGGCGAACAAGTCATACGTCTTGCTTAAAAATAAGTTGCATCTATTTAGATTTGCCGCCACATTTGTTACTTTCCTGGGTGGCTAGATGGCGCCACTACAATATACAGATTACAGATTTCTTTACAAATTTGAAACCGTTTTGAAACTAAAAAATGCATGGGAGTTAGCGTTCTTCTTTAGTGTGCTGTGATTGACTCGTACTTTAAATTAGGGATGTACCCGATGTACGATTCGAATCGATTATAATCGAAGATCGGTCTTTTTACCCAAAATATCGATTAAAATCGATCGATTTTTACCAAACGATCTTTTGGTATATGCAATCTTTTTTTTGAAAATCGAAGATCGATTTTATTTATACAGTTTTACTTGTTTCTTTATTTGTTAGAATAAGAGGAAATACTTTAGTTTTGCTTGAATATTTGTTTACATCCCAATGACTAAAGAATGCAAAGACACGTAACGTCCACATACGGGCTGCAGCAGAATTTGTGACCTTAGACGCCATTTTTTTGGACATAACGAATGAGTCATCATTTGTTATGTCATGTCCGTTAGTATAAGTAGACAGAATGCTGTCTAATATGCGTTTAATTTATTAACGAAAGAATGTTTAGAAAAGCTTTAAAAATGGGCGCCTATGTCTTTTTCATTCTTTTCTAAATGAAACGATTAATATATCCACGGCAGGCCCTCAGGCCTTGTAGTCCCTTTCCGCTTTTACAGCCAGTATATCAAGTGCCTTAAAGTTAGCAACGCAGCTTGTTACCTTAGAGAGGGTACTTTTGCAATTTTTATGCGGGACTCGGTGCTGGTGAAGATTTAATGTTTGATGGACTTGAACGAAGGGTCAGCAACAAGTAGTTATAAAGAGATGAAATAATAATGTCTCATTAGGCAGAAAAAAAATGGTAACAATGCGATTTGTTGTAGTAGTAAATAAAGTGGGCATCAAATATAACTTAAAAATATTGACTAATTGAATTCATAATATTCATGGGTGGCGCCTCTCATGTGACTCCAAGGAGAACGGTAGTTTGTATTGAAATTAAATTTTAGGGGCATATACAGTGGCGGATACAGAGATACTACAATTTAAAGATTTCAGGGGGGCCATGGGGTCCGGCCCCCCTGATATCTTTAAATTGGGTTAAATCTTAGGCTTTTTGGTTAAAAATGGCGCCCTAAAAAGAAGTAGCGCCCTGTAGAATATGCATTCTACATTACTTTTTATTTTGGGCCCCCCCTAAAATAAATTCCTGTATCCGCCCCTGGGCATATATGTAGGTTAATTAGAATTTTTGCAGGGTGTTTCTAAAAAAAGTTACGCATCAAAGTTGTATTTTTGTAATGGAACACCCTATATATTAATCGATTGCTGGATTCTAAGAAAAAAATAAACGTTGCGTTAGAGACATATAACTAAAATGGAAGTTTTTTGACAGATTTAACATTTTATGAATATGAAGAATAAATTTTTAATTTAAATAAAAACCATACCTAACTCAAAATTTACTTCAAATCAAATTAAAACTTGACCGAAAAAGTTATACAGGGCGAGACAAAATCATTATTGAACATTGGTCACTTTTAAAAGCAAGCTACTCTTTTATTTTAAATGGAACATCCAGTATAGTATTCCAATATTCAATGGAGAATTTTTATCTCTTCAAAATATTATTAAGATTGCCTACCCCTTACATAAACATTTTACTAGATATTTTTAATTTTATGTTTAGTGGCAGTAGATCTTTTTTATGTGATAAAAAACAGTCACCCAGATTTTATCAAATAATCAAGATCTACTGATACTAAATCATAAAAATGAAAAAATGTAGGAAAATCTTTTTCTGAGGGGTAAGCCATAGGGTGTACCAAATAAATATTTTTTTTCTTTTTAGTTATCATGAAAATGTCGTTCAGGATGATGAAAAAAATATCTGGTAAAGTTTGAGCTTTGAATATTAATATTAAGAGGTGCCTCATCGTGATTTTCCTATTTAAATAACATGGGGAAACAAATTCTTTTTTTAGGGGAATTTTATTGCGTTCTAACAAATCAGCGTTTTGTAAAAATCAATACATATTGTTGTAGTAAATTGGCCGGTCTTCAAAAAAGGTCTGATATGAATTTTTATTTAATCGACTAAGTTATTGAAGGTTAAAGTTCAACTTCAAATCGTATATGATAACTTCCTATTTTTTATATTTTATCACGAAATAATGGCTCAGAAACATAAAATACCATATTTTATATTTTATATGATTGACATCAGACTTTTTTTGAAGACCGTTCAATTTACTACAAGAATATGCATTGGTTTTTACAAAACGCTTATTTGTTAGAACGCAATAAAATTCCAAAAAAAATGTTTCTCCATGTTATTTAAATTGAAAATAGAAAATCACGATGAGGCACATCTGAATATTAAAAGCTCAAACTTTGCCAGATTTTTTTTTCATCATCCTGAACGATATTTTTACAGTAACTAAAAGGTGCACCCTAGTAAGCAACCTTAATAGTATTTTGAAGAGACAAGAATTTTTCATCGAATTCGGAATAATATACTGGTTGTTAAAAGTAACTTATTTATTTAAGAACAAAGGAAGTGCATCAGACTGGAAACTACCGAGGAATTTCACTACTGGCTGTCGGAGGAAAAATTCTTGCAAAAATTATGTCAAACCGTCTGCACCCACATATAGAAAAAATCCTCCCAGAATCGCAAACGGGTTTTCGCACCAATCGCGGTACCGTCGATTCCATATTCTCCATCCGCCAACTACAGGAAAAAGTAAAAGAGCAGCAGTCTAAACTTTATGTTGCATTCATCGATCTAACAAAAGCCTTCGACTCTGTGAACAGAGATACACTTTGGGCAATTATGAAAAAGTACAGAGTACCCAACAAATTTCTTACAGTGTGTAAAAGCCTCCATAACAACAACAAATCAAGAGTGTCATATCATGGATCACTGAGCAATCCCTTCCTAACAAACACAGGCGTTAGGCAGGGATGTGTCTTAGCGCCTCTCCTATTCAATATATTCATGGAAGCGCTTTCCATTATAGTGGACAGCAAATCGACAAACAAGCAGGAGAAAGGTGTGGGTATACAGATACGACGGCGCGGCGGTCTGTTCAACATAAAAAGACTTCGGGCAAAAACACGTACAAAATTCATCACAGAATTTCAATACGCTGATGACTATGCTCTAGTTGCAAATACGTTACAGCAATTGCAAGAAATGTTGAACACATATACATGGGCATACGAGGCTTTGGGACTTAATTAAGCTCA